ATACTTCGCAAGAAAGACATTTGAGGGAAAGGAGGCGGATACTTTAAAAATGCACGTGTGTTTTTGAAAGGTGTTGTGAGCCATAGTGTCTCTTTTTGTTCGCAGGTGGTTAGCTCAGTAATTTGCCAAAATTGTGTAGGATTTTGGAGATTATAATAGCATTTTCTCTAACCTGCCAAGATCCTGCTAAAAAAAAAATAAATTATGTAGCTATATAAACATTTCAATAACCTGTAAGGGATGAAGAAGTGCTAATGAGCGCAATTAGCTTGGCCTTTCCCAGAATCTTTGAGGAAGGCTCAATGTCCCTGGAGAAATGTGGGTGAGGAACGGCACCTTGGGTGAGAAACCAGCCAGGGAGGAGGCACACAGATCATGGCGATCCAGCAAAAGGTTTTACAGTGATCCCACCCCAATTACAGATTGTTGGGATTGGGTTTTTGTTTGTTTGTTTGTTTGTTTTTTTCAGTTTGGAGACCGGTTGTTTTCAGTCCTGATTTGTCCCTCCTTCTCCCTGCGGACGCGGCGCTTTGGGGGACATCGGGGCAATCCCCTGCAGCTCCTTTCACTGCCATTAGCACCGATGAAAGGTGAATGTCTGCTGCTTGGCTTTATCGTTGCTTATTTGTAAGATATGCGGTGGATAATTAGATTTATTTTTATGGCTTTGGATTAGAATTGGTGGGTCACTTGGAGGGCACGCGGAGGCGGCGTTTTATGATCTTGATGGTCTCACATCCCTGTGTGAGCTCCCTCCTCATCCTTTTCTGTCCATATTCCTGGTGACTGGGAAGCAAGAGACTTCTGTACCCTCCCTCGTATACTTAGTGTTTTTCTGAGTCTTGCCTATTCCACGGGCTATAATCAAAATTTTATTTGCATTGCCTGAGGGCTATGTGCCGAGCGTGTAAAATAGACATTCAGGAGACACATGGCTGGTCTCGACGGGAGGAGCTGAGGCAGATGGGCACAGAGGACAGCTATATTAATGATAAAAATGTCACATATCTGCCCTGAAAACTACAGGAGCCTTATTGTTTAGGATTTAAAGTCTGTGTAAGGCAAGTGCAAATGCATGGTCTATAAATGAGACAGAAGCTGCATGCAGTGTGAGGCGCTACTGGAGTGTAAATATAAATCTGTACTTCTTTAATCCCACTTCTTGCACTGTTCTGAATAATTCTGTTTCCTTCTGGAGATCATTGAAGCTCGAAAATAGTAGTTCTTGCTTAATTATTGTGTGAATTCCAGCTTGAGCACAGTTGAAAAAAGATGGGAGGGGGGTTTTTTGAGTTGGTTTTTTGTTTGTTTTTAATCAGTCCAGGAAGGAAGTACCAAATTTCTTGACATGCAGTCGCTCTGAATGCCTTCCTGCCCAAAGGTGACACTTGGACCCTCAACCCTCTGGCACTCGGGCATCTCCAGCGTGCTGGTGTACGCCATCCCTGTGCGAAAGGGGACCCAGGCTAAGCAAAAAGCGGTTGTGTGGGTTGATTTAACGTACCTCCCATCCCACTTGGAGTCACTGAGAAGGCAGCACTGGTCAGAGCTGTGTGGCTTTCCCATGTGGGCTGTACCTGGCAAGCCCGACCGGGTAGCACAGGGCTCACGTTGTGTAAATAGGGAATTTCCCCCAGCTCTGAAAGGCTGACTGCACAAGCCGCGTCCGTCCGAGCACCCAGGATATTCCCCTTCTCATTAGGGTTACTGGGGATCTTTTTCCCTGCAGCTTCACCGTGTTCCCTCCTCCTCCGGCAGCCCGTCGTGGAGGCAGCGCATCCTTCGCCTGCAAATCTTTGTGTGCTTCCAGTCACTACCTTGTTTTCTGGTCTCTTTGCACATCAATCAGTCTCTCTCTAAAAATTAATACTGATTACATTTGGGTTTTTTGCTTCTCTTCTCATTTTGCTTTGTTTCCAGAGATGAGATCAGACTAATTGCCTATCACGTAGACTTCTATTGAATACAGAGGAGCCGTGACAAGCCCTACCTGTGCGGGGATTAATGTCACTGTCAGCCCTCTGGGGTTTAATGCCTTTAGGCCAAACGCAAAGAGGACAGTGTCGGTCTCTCCAAATGATGATAGTCTTTGTTTCTGAGGTCACCCCATCCAAAACGGGCTGTGGGAGATGGTCATTGGAAGTGTTGGGATAAATACCGGCAAAGAAAACAGGCTGATCTCTTAGTTGAGAGAAGAGACCGCTCTGGGACAGAGAAGCAGGGCTGCGGAGGGACAGCGCGGCTGGTCCTAGGCTGAACTTGAGCACGGAGAGGGGTGAAGGGGTCTTCAGGGACACCTGCAATTAGAGAAGCAACGGGGAAAACTAGGAGGGAAGCGTCTCGAGGAGAAGCGCTGAGCTGGCTGTGCTGGAGGCAGCACGAGGGGGATCGGAGCCCGGAAAGCGCCGCGTGCGTCTCGGCAGAAGCCGTTGCGGTGGCGAGTCTGGGGCAGAGGCTGCGCCGGGGGAGGGGTGATGTGGAGCTGGAGGGAGGGAAAAACTCAGGCAGTGACCACAAACGGCATCTGCAGTGAGCTTGCAGGTGAGAGAGGAAAGTGGTGGTAGCTGTAATGATGGTTTTTTTAGAGGGAGATTACGAAGATGCGCTGCAAAAGAGACAGAGAAGCTTAGGGATGAGGGGATGGCGAATAAAAAATGTTGAAATCAAGTCACTAGAGCAGGAAGAGGGGGCGATGGGAGGCAGCACGCAAGCGACCTCGGCACGTGTTGTGGAAACGGGGAAGCAGTGGTTGAAACCTCGGCGGGGGCAGTCTCGTTTCTCAGTTTTGTCTGAGAAAGAAACTTTGCGTGAAGAGGCACGGCAGAGGTGGGGAGGGCTGGGAAAACAGGGAGAAGACACGTGTGGGAAGGACAGGAAGTTGTGCAGGAGGAAGAGCCTTGGCCAAGGACTTGTGCTGTTGAAGAGCCTGAGGTGAGGGCAGGGTGCAGGAGTGATTTCTCCTGGAGGGATGGGCAAGGTCCAGGGTTGAAGAGGGGGAAGAGGTTACAGTGCTGAGTTTCCCTTCTGTTTTTCCAAGACTCTCACGCCATCAGCACAAGAGGGGGGAAAGAGGGGACGTGGTGTGCACCTGGAGAGATTCACTGCGCTTTTGCTAATGGATTAGGATGAAACGAGGGTGCTGGGGGAATTTCAACCAACTTGGGCCATCTGGAGCCCAAGAGCTCTGGTCCTCATCCTGAGCTGCCCTGCCAGTGGGGGTCTGGAGCCAGGCACAGGATATCCAGCGGCCGCGGGGTGAGCTGGATGGTGCCTCTCTAATGCCTTTTAATGTGTTAATCGGGTCTTGTTTGCACTCTGGTGACTTTCCCTCCTTTCGATAAAGCGGTTATCTAAAAACTAGCAGAGCCAGTGAAGCTTTGACTTTTACAATGTGCCTTGTCTGATGCTAAAATACACCACCAATAATCTTACCTGACTTAAAAAAAAAAAAAGCAACCAAACAAAAAACCCGCCTATCTCTGCAGCAGTATAGTACAGGTTTTAAATTTTCTGGTGATTTTCTTTGTAAACTGCTCAGCAGGGTATTATTCAGCCAGCTGCATCGAGGGACTAATATAACATGTGTTCTCAATTTTGGACCCTTTATGTTGGGAATTTTCCGTTGTGCAATTGCATTAAATCTGAGGCAGCTGACAAGACCGCGATGTTTTCTAACTCTACACAAGGTTAAATGGCTGAAATAAAAATAGATGGAAAAGAAAACAGGGTACAATAAGTTTGCTTCCTCATGTAATGGCGGGAGGTAGCGGGAGGTCAGGGACTTAAGGATAGCCCAGCCATCAGTCAGGGACCGTGACACAACTGAGCCTTCCTAAATCACTTCGGAAATTATCTTCTGTTTCAGACGCTCGTTCTCTTTCGTTCACACAGATCATGTAACTGAGAAGACTGTGTTCCAAGTTAGCATTTTTATATAAATTGTGGTAATAATGACTGTATTTGTGAAGCATTTTACTTTCTAAACGCCTGGGCTGCAGGATGTTATTTGCAGTATTTTCCTTACTGGGAAACGTATGATTTTTTTACTACTGCCTGTAGGAAAAATACAATCTGTGCTGGTGTCCCTGGGAGGGGCGGGGGGCAATCTGCGGAGCAGGGGGGTGCTCTCGGACACGGGAGAGTCAACAAATTCACAGATGTCAGGCCGAGGCGGGAGCGCGAGGTACAGCCCGAGCGCTGATCTCCACCCAGCAGCGTCACCGGGTGCCGGATCCCGGAGGTTTGCAGCCTCCTCTGCAGCTCGTGGGTCTCTGTCCTGCAGTGCGCCAGGATCCTTCTGGAGATGGTTTTGGCTCTGTGCTCCCCTGTTTTACATCTGACAGGTTTTGTTTTCAGCCCAAATTGCAAAGGTAGCTGTTCTTTTTCTCTCTGAAATGTAGATGAAATGGCAGAGCAGCTTCAGCAAGTACCAGCCCTCTCGTCTCTTGCAGACTGTCAGCATGATGCTGCTTGAATGTTTGTTAAGGAAAGTTTCATAAATAAAAGCAAGAGAAGGTGCCATTTATTGCTATTATTTTCTTAGGGAAGCAGAGCTTTATGCGTTTGCAGTGTTAACAGATTTAGTTCGGGTAGAGAATCAAATGCTAAATCCCATTTTGTTCTGCTTAAATGACCAGCTGCACCCCGCTACAGCAGTTTGGACCCTCGTTGTTATTTTGTTGTCTCCGTGTTTCGGATATTGGTATCTTAACTACCAAGTCCTCTGGCCTCAGAGCGGGTCTGTTCACCAGGGTGCTGAAGCCAGACACCCTGTGTCCAAACAGGGTGCAGTTAGCAGGGTTTTAGCAATATCCAACTATATCCATTTAGGTCTGCGGTGTCAACCGAAAAAAAAAAAAAAAAATTTATATATATATATATATATATATATATATATGCCTGTCTTGTGAAAAAAACAGCTCAAGTTTAGAGCTGTGCAAGTCAGAGCATTAAGTTAAAAATAAATCTTCAGAACATAGTGCATCTAAACACAAATTGTTTATTACTGGCTATTTTATTTATACCAGTCATGGGATATTCAACTACTGACATGGGAACTGCAAAACACGGGTTTTAATTCTGGGTTTGGACAGCGACACAACACGCGGCAGCTATGAGAATTGAGCTTTAAGACCACGGAGCATAAACTTAAACCTTAATACAGCTCCTCAGGAGCAAAACCAGGGCTCAGGGCGCCGCTGATGGCGGGCAGTGCTGGAATGCTCCGTTGCCAGCAGCTTCATTAAAACTGCGTCATTAAAAATTAAATTAAAACATCCGAGCAGAGACACGGTGCTTTGTAACGCTGGTGTTGGTTGAGCATCATCGCTGGCCCCAAGTGCTTCTTCCAAAGCACCCCAGCTGTGGAGGCACCTTTTTTAAAAATAAATAATCAGATGTAAATTACCAACAGAGGTGAAAACTCAACCCTGTGCTTCTCTGGTCAACCTAAAAGTAAAAAAAGAGTAAAGTTAATTTTATTGACTGTTGAAGGATACTAGAATACCTTTTGTAAAAATTTTAGCAGCGCCATGAAATCTAAACTGAGTGCCAGGCACGTTCCCTTTTAACCTTTGTTAGTGTATATCTGAAAACTTACTTGCCATCTTTCTGTTCGAAAATATGAGTGAAACTGTGACATCTGGTCCAAAGCCCATGCAAGGAATCTTTGTGATAGCTGGAGTTTCTGTGAATATAACTCCCGCTGGCTCGATGGGAAGAATATAGAAAAGGCATGGTCCTGATTCTGCTTTGCAAACATTCATTCCACTTAAATGAGGAAAATAAAAACTACAGTGTTCTCACTTGAAAAGCAGCCAATTTTTTCCAATATTTTCCTGCACCTGCAAATACTATGCCTGTTGGATATGGTGATCAATGACAAATTACATTTTCTGTTATATAATTAAAAATGTCAAGTCTTTTCCTCTTTGCAATACAAAACCTAAAAATCTGGTCTCAGTTCTGGAGGGGATGAGGGGAGGGAGCTCTGTTTTACCCAGGCACAGTCCAGTGCAGTAGTTCCAGTTCACAGAAGCTGTGAGTGGGCTCTTGCTAATTGGTTCTTTGATTCCTTTCCTTGGCCATTAGGAAAAGCTCTCTGAGGAGACTGGAATACCCTCCTCCCCCTCCAGCCCCTCTCTGCCCTTATTAATAGGAAGAACATTTTCCTGTTCATCATTTATATAGCTACACACATATTTACGTACATACGCCCCGATATATTTGGTTTGCTTCCCATTCCCTTCTCTCTTTCCCAGGGACAACGTGTCTGATTGCACTGCTGTCAGACAAAGAACTCACCGTGGCCAACGTCGGGGATTCGCGCGGAGTCCTGTGTGACAAGGACGGGAACGCTATCCCCTTGTCACACGATCACAAGCCCTACCAACTGAAAGAGAGGAAGAGGATTAAAAGAGCTGGTGAGTCGTAACGTTTTTCCTTTGGATTGAAAGTTCATCCTTTTTTCTTCTCTGCTCTGTCAATAATAGAGACTTTTCCCCTGAGAGAGACTGAAAAGTACTAGGCTGAGGCATCAGCAGATAAAATCTTCCGTTATTAATACAGCACTTTTCCGTGGGATGTCACGGTGCAGACGGAGGGGTGGAAGCAGACTGCCCTGCCCCTTAATGAGCCGCTGTCAGAGCGAGAAGAGCAGCCTCCACGTTCTGCAGCCAGTTGACCATTCCCTCGTGAGCTCTGCAGGGAGCAAATTAATAAAGAGGAGCAGCGGCAGCGCAGGCTTCTCCGCAGCAAAGCGTACCAGCAGCCTGTCTGTGAGAGCCTGCGTTGGAAGCTGAGGGAGCTTTAGTTCTGAGAAGAAGCAGAGCAGGAATCTAATTCATCAAAGCTATGTTTTGACCCCGTGTAGTGTCCGCTAACAAGCACAAACACGTAAAGTGTAGCAGTATATGGAAAGGCAATAAATCTTTTTAGCTTTCATCACTTGTCATTTTAGTGACCTCCTAGGCTAGAAGTTACATTTGGATCATCAAGTTTAACAGCCAATCTCCATGAATTTGTCAAAGTCTGTTTTGAACCCATTTCGGGGTTTGGCTCCCGCAGCAGCCTGCAGCAAGAAGTTATTTGATGAAGAATAACAAGTTCCTTTCATTTGTGTTAAACCTACCCATGAGCATTGCCTCCAGAGGTGCATCGCCTCTCTGCCTCCAAGTCTGTAAAATAAAGAAATAACAAGTTTTTCCCCCGAGTATAAAACATTTTTAAAACCTGCAGGTTATCAGTACGCTCACCCCAGCATAAACACCTGTACGTGTGCCGTGTGTATGCTCCTCTCTGCTGGCTTTTATCCCCGCCGAGGCATAAGAGCAGTGGGGATCCTTCCTGCTGCTGGGCAGAGAGCCGAGGTCAGGTATGTTCCCCAAAAGGCAAGAAAAACTAAGGAGGAGGAACAGGAAAATCTTGGTCTTGCTTTGCTTCAGCTCTGTACTTTGGGGGATGTGGTGATAAAACCTGGAGAGTTATCTCTAAAATTGCTTCCCTCTTAGCCGAGCCCAGGGCCCCTGTGCAGCTGTTCACTTAGAGAAGGCCTTCACTTAGGAGAAAAAAATAATTTCATTATTTCATTTGTCTAGAAGTGAGGCTTTATAACACAACATGATGCAAAATTAACCTGGATTTTTGCAGGAATTTCCAACTTGGAAAGAAATTATGTTAGTAGACAGGTAAATGCTGTAACTGTCTGCAGCTAAACAAGAAATACTCTATCTAGCCTAGTGACTTAATGAATTCACTTCTCTGCTACCTATTGTCCCACGGTATTACCGTGATTGGTACGGCCTCGTAGTGCAGTTAAAAACATACAGTCCAGTTTATGTTTCAGACAGCTACTCTTACATTTTGGAACATCCCTTCTTTACATACAGCGAGTGGAAAAGTGAAGCAAAGTGCCCAAACTGAGTTATCAAGCCTGCGTTGCCGCAGTGACAGAAGTACGTGACTTGTTTCCACCATCTAGATACTTCTTTGTCACGCAGACCTGAAGAAAGCGACAACAACCACATCATTAGGTTATAGTTTGGGTTTCCATCTTTACATCGCACCACCAAGCTGCACTGTCCCGTGCCCTGTAGGTAGGTACAAAACGGCTGCACGTTTGTGTCAGGAGCACTAGATGTCATTTAAAAGTGAAATCCATATAGCCGTGGTTGAGAAAATACCCTTCAAACCTCATTCTGATCAAAATCAATTTGAGGCAGCCTGAAACAGCAGCTCAAAGCAAAGCGTGACTCGCCCTCTGCGTTTCAGCAGGCGCTAACGCTGGGATGACAAGGCTGAACTCATCCGTCGGGTTTTGCTGCCATGGTGGATGTTAAGGAGACTCGCTGCTCGCTGCCGTCAGCGGTCGGTGGATGGGGAATGAATTCGTCCCTCTCTTTGCCCCAGCGACTGCGTACAAAGTCTTAGTCAACCCATAACTTGAAAAAACCCCAACTTCCTTTGATCGGGCCGCTGTGACTGGAGCCGCTCCCGCGCTGCAGCCGCAGCAGCTCCGCTCCGGTTTCTCGGGGGAGTCGCTGCGGCGCAGCGGGAGGTCGGGGGGTGCCCAAAGCTGCAGCCAAACACCCGAAGGAGAGGCGGCACCTGCGAGGGCAGAGCAGGACCCTCCATGCTGAGCCGGGTGCCGCATCCCGCCTGCTCGGCAGCGGGGCTGTGCCGCTGACGGCCGCGGTGGAGGGGCTGGGTCCAGCCTGGGCGTTGTCTGATGCACGCTCATGTCCCGCAGCTGGATGAGGTTGGGGTGACACCGCTCTGACCCGCTCCTGGCGGATGGGGACGTGCCTCTCCTACATTTCCCCATCTCCTTGCAGATACAAGGGTGTTGGTTTTCCTGGAAAACATGGGGAATCTCCTTCCCATCAGGAGCTTGAGCAACGTATATAGTATCAGCATAAGACAGCGGCCTTGAAACAACCATGGGTTTAGCTCGTGAAGAAACAATTGGTTATAGAGCCACAAGGTGACTGTCACTGATAGAAATTAAAGTCAGTCATTCACCTTGAACATAATCCTCTCGGCTCAGCTCGCACTAACATGCAAAGTGTTTGTGCGGTTGCCAACAAGCTTCTGTTTCTTGAATGCCTTTTCTTCTCCAGCGGCACCCAGCACTGCAGAATGTTTGCTGTTCCATGAGCGTTTTTACGTGTTCTGTATGGATGGCTCCAGAAAAGCAAATATTACAAGTGCCAGCAGACACTTCAGCAAACCACAGGAATTCAACCTGTGCCGCAGGCGGTTCCAGGTGCCGCGTGGGAACGGCACCAAAAAGTCACTTTGTACATGGAAGCACGACCTGCAAAGGCTGAAGTAAGCAGCGAGTCAGCAGGACCAGCGCCTCCTCTGCAAGGACAGTAACGGGTGCAGCGCTGCTGTCCTCTCGTGGTGGGTTAAATGTCTACTCAAAACTGCCTCTTCGTTGTTGCATTTTTCTTTCCCTGCTGTTCCAATACGTACACGTGATTACACTGCAGTTACTCCAGTCGGAAAATCACAGAATCCCAGGTTGGAAGGGACCTCAAGGATCATCTGCTCCAACCTTTCTGGCAACAGCCCCTGTCCAGCTGAATCTTAAAGGTGTCTGATGTTGGGGAACCCAACACTTTCCTGGGAAGATTATTCCAGTGGCTGATTGTTCTCAGCGTCCAAAATTTTCCTCTTGAGTCCTATCAGAATCTCCCCAGGAATAACTTGTACCCATCACCCCTCGTCGTTCCCCTGTGACTCCTTGTACAGAGGGACTCTCCGTCTTCACCCTTCAGACAGTGGCACATGGTGATAAGGTCTCCCGTCAGCCTTCTCCTCTCGAGGCTGAACAAATCCTGTTCTCTCGGCCGTTCCTCACACGGCTGCCCCGTCCCTTGGTCATTTTCTCTGAGCCCTCTCCAGCCTGGCCACATATTTTTTATGTAGTGGGGACCAAAAGTGAGCACAGGATTCCAGGCATGGCCTGACAAGCACTGGTCAGAGTGGGATAACGACTGCTTTATCTCTGCTGGGGATGCCCTTGTTGATGCAGCCCAGCACCCCAGGGGTTTTCTTTGACACTGCAGACCCCCAGACCCCTTTCCCCAGAGCTGCTCCCCAGCCGGGCAGATCCCAGCCTGTGCTGAGCTCCTGGATGATGTTTTCCCAAGTATAAGACCTTACACTTGACCTTGTTGAACTCCATCAGGTTCAGGGTACATTTGATCCCATCAGCCAGATCACTTCAGGATATTGAACAGCGTTGGGCCCGGCATCGATCCCTGGGGGACGCCACTTATCAGAGGTTGTGAGTCTGAAAAAGAGCCATTTCCCACCACCAGTCCCATCATTTATGGAGGAACCCTGGGCCGGTGAGTTGCCAGCTGCATAACATTCACCTGAGGCGCCCTCAAAACCTACAGCAGCAGCTGGTGAGGCTGGTTTGACTGCACGTCTAAAGAGGAGTTGCAGTAGGCTCACCAGTCCTGCCTCTTCTGGACCATGGAAGGAAACACCTTCATAATGGAGACTCTGTAGAAGTATTCATGGAAAAACCCGGCTAAAAAGTGCTGTTTCTGCTGGTTTTAACAAAAATCAAGTTTGAGGCTTTAAGCAAGAGTGAATCATGACATGAAATGTAGTTTCACCTAAAAGCAGAAGGAATTTACAGATTAGATCAGCCAACCAGGAATGGAAACGTTATCGTAAAATTTAGGTGACTGGGAGACTGACAAATAACACAGAGGCTGAAGTGCAGAGCTGAAAACATTCCGATAACTACAAAGAACAAAGACATTTATAAGAACACCAAAGCAGACAGCTTGCAGATAGAAAATACAACAGTTCACCTAATTTTGTCATACGTTTGAATGTTCCCTGTTTGCAAATTATTTGTCCTCGAGTGCCTTTTCATTCACAGTCAGACGACGGGAGTATTGCTGAGAGGTGCCGCAGGCAGTGGCACGCAGATGCACGCAGAGGAGCTGAAGGTGCCTCCATGTCACTCTGCCCTTGAACACTGACAGGTTCCACCTCCCTGGCAGGGTCAGACGGTGTGTAACTGCCACGTGCTGGCTGTGTCAGTCATCGATTTCCGTGCAAAAAGCATCTCGCTAGAAGCAACCTCTATATAAAATCACATATTTTCAACTAGAAGCAGCCTTAATCGTGGTGAGAGTAAAAATCAGTCAGATCCCACGTTGCCTTTTACTGACTTGAAGTAAAATTTTGTGATCGGTTCACAACAGATTTTTGGTCCTTTTTGACACAGCTCATTCGAGGCAGCATGATAGAAGAGCCTATAAATGTTTTTGCACTTGCTTCTTGGCCTTAACAGTGAGATGTGAGTCCCACTGCAGGGTGTTCTCAGTGTTGTTTCCTTCACAGGTCTTCTGAAATGGGGAAAACGTGAACTGCGCAGAAAAAGAGGGTTACTAACGCAAAAATATAACCCTTGCTTTCGCTATTTTTGTCTTAGCATTGCCGTAAGGCTTTCCAAACAGTCGCTTGTGCGGTACAGGAATTCTCGTGTCCAACAAGTTCCATCCCTGGGGGAGCAGAGCTCAGGAAGCGGCTTAGTTTGAAGGCAGAGCCATTCCTGACTGCTCTGCTCAGCTGTTTCTCCAGCACTAGCGGCCACAATCCAGCTTTTTCCTGCAGCGCCCTGAGATTGACTTAAGGCACCTCCTGCTTTTGGCAACGGGAAACATCAGGATACAGCAGGGAGAGTTTTTGGGTGGGTCTGGCAGGAAGCCAGAGAAATGCTTTAACTGGAAGTGTCGGTGTTTCTCCCCAGGTGGTTTTATCAGCTTCAACGGCTCGTGGCGCGTTCAGGGGATCCTGGCCATGTCCCGCTCCTTGGGGGATTACCCTCTGAAGAACCTGAACGTTGTCATTCCCGACCCCGACATTCTCACCTTTGACCTGGACAAACTGCAGCCAGAGTTCATGATCCTGGCGTCGGATGGGCTGTGGGATGCTTTCAGCAACGAGGAAGCTGTGCGATTCATCAAGGAACGCTTGGATGAGCCGCACTTCGGCGCCAAGAGTATAGTCCTACAGTCCTTTTACAGGGGATGCCCTGATAATATAACAGTGATGGTGGTGAAGTTCAGAAACAGCAGCAAAACAGAAGAACAGTAATTACCAGTGGTTCTCCGCCTCACTCCAAACTGACAACAAACTCTTACGTTTTAAACCTAGTAGAAAGCTCTAGTAAATACCGTTAAGATTCTACACAAAAGGAACAGATCCCTCTGGTCTTTGTTCTTTGCTTAACAAAAGGAGCAATACAACAGATACGTTCTGAGCGATTATAAGAATTAAGTTTGTTCACTTATACCTGTCTCCTGTGACCTTGCTGCTCCTTAGGAACTAACTGTAACCTTCCGTTTCAGAGTTTGCTTTCCGGATCCTCCGTAGGCTTTCCGTTCGGTCCCTTACCTCTCGTTTCCAGCAGTCCAAGGTTCGTTCAGACGCACACAGGAGGGTCAGGGCGGCGCCGCCGCTGGCGGCTGAGGGATAGGGAAGATGCTGCTTTCCCCGCGTAGCTGTGACTCCTCAGAATGATGCTCTCACCTTTCTCATCTTTCTTTTTTAATCTGCAGTGATAAGGTTGTACAGGAACAGGTTTGTGATTATTGGCCTGTTAGGAAGGAGGAAGAGGAGCCAGCGATTAGCCTGCTACCACAGAACTGGCTCTCTCACTTTGTTTAACCTCCCCCCCCTCAAATAAATCCCCGCCAAGCATGTGATTAGGTATAGTCACCGCATTACCTGAAGGCACATGTTTATTCAGTCTGTGCATTACTCCAATAACATTTCTCCTATGCCATATTGTATTCAAACCAACTAACGTTAAACTTCAGCAAAATACTTGGGAGGTCTGACACCTTCTGCATCAAAAAATAGCTCTGTTGTGATAGAAGAATGTCTGTCATTCATTCACCAGGACTCATCCTTAGGTTCGGTTTTTGGCATGGACTTTTCATAGGCATGTAAAGAAAGTAATGCAAGATAAAATTAATTTTGTTATTGACTGTTTGGAAAACTAATCACAACAGGGCATCCCTTAGAGCTACTTAGGTGGAAGTCAAGCCTATTAAAGACTTCTTTGTGCCACTGCAGATTAATTTGTGGTGTTAATCCAGGGGAAGACCACTTCAAACCGTTCCTCGGTATAATGTATAAATGCCAGGCAGTGTCCTACCACTGTTAAATCTAGCTAAAAATATGTTTAGATCTAACTTTCAGTATTTAATTGTATTTTGGAATCTGTGACTCCTGTGAGCTGAAGCAGTGACAGTCTGAGTTTGCTCTACGTGGCAGCTTCAGGACAGAGGAGGCGGCAGCAGCGGCGCGGGGGCAGCGTGTGCTGGAGGGGCGGTTTGGATGCCCCACGTGTGCCAGCTGTCCTCGGGATCCCCTCCCCACAAAACCTCGTCCGGGACCACCCGCTGAAGTCTCCCGTCTTGTAGGTGATGGAGGTTTGTTAGTGTTGAGGTCCTGAGGCGGATCAGGGGTGTAATGCCGTAACTAGCGTTCTCCGTTTCTTGGATAAAGCTACACTATTACTTAGCTAAAAAGCTACCTGTTTCTCCTCACCCACCACAGCGTTTTGGGGCAAGTGCTGGTCCCCGAAACGCTGTGATGTGTCGTGGTCATGCTGAGCAGGTGTGATGTCGCTGACAGCAGATCTGAACGAGCATAAATTCTGCTTTCTGCTCGAGAAGGAACGCCCGTCTTAGTCTTTCTGGTTTTGTTCCAAGGTTATCCTTTCCCAACAAACTTCCCTCCTTTGGTTTGTTTGGAGAGAATCGCAGCTCTTCACTGGCTCTGTTGCTGTTACCAGTGCTGTCCAAACTGCCGGCGTGTCTCTCTGCTCATCCAGACTCTGGGTAGAGCCCCCTGACTCTGAGCAACAGGCAGGTGAAAAGAGTGTGAAAGTGTCAGGCACCCCCTGACCCCAGCGGGCACCCAGCCTGCGCTAGCCCTTCCCCGGAGGATGGAGGGTTTCAGTCTTAAAAATCTTGTGAACAGTGCAGTCAGTGAATTCTAAACGCAGCCGTGCAGTTAAATTGAGCAGCTAACAGGGAATGTTAATAATTGCTGAGCGCTTCAGTTATTTTATTTTGAAAAGGTACGGGAGGTCAGAGCGCTGTGAAATGAAAACCTCACGTGGTGTTTTCACGGGAGCGCTTCGTCACGTGCTCAGC